TTTAATCAAGATTTTTGTCGGAATCTGTCACTTCTCGTCATTCTTATTCATTATTAATTTTCAAAGCATGTTTCATGGTCTGAGAGGTGAGGAAGTATAAATTCAAATTTTATCTCCAACATAAATGTGGAAACCTCGGATTTAAATTCGAGCGTTATGTGTACTTCAAAAAGTAAAAACCGTTATTTTCTCAAAAAACCATTCCCTTAACCCAAAAATTGAGTTCAAAATTTTTGAAATCTGACTTCAGATTTGGATCCCCAGACCCTGATTTACTCCTACCAACTTTTATGAAGAATCGTTATTGTCTCAAAAAACCCTTCCCTTAACGCAAAAAATTGAGTTCAAATTTTTTTCTTAATATTTTATATACCATTTTGGGTGTGAGTGCGGGTGTAGACCTACTCTACATGTCCACACCTACACTCATGCGTTCATACATCAACACTCACAAATCTACATCCACACCCACACCCCATCTATGTGAGGGTGCGAATGTAAACTGATGAATAGGTGAGACTTCTCTGCGAAGCTGTGTATGAGGCGTGGAAATCGGGTAGGGTAGACAAGAATTATGATGGATATCTTCCGTACGCTACCCATTTGCATCCGCAATTATTTATAATCTGCGTAATTTAATTAAACACTGTTTAAAACCATTTTAAGTCTAGACATGAAACTTACAGCGGGCTATTATTTGAAGAAAAACATGAAAAGCAGTAAGGGTATATTCTAATAAAAAAAACCGTGTAATGCCGCATGCATTTAGTTCCCACATCCACGCTCTTGTTAAATCTATTATTCTGAGAATGTCATATGCAGTAGTTTAATAGAAAAAGATTATTCTATCAGAGTAATTCGTATGTCATCAAAGTCTATTTCACGAATTACTCATACGATATAATATCTTTTGAGAATCCATCTGATGACGTTCTGAGCAAAAAGGAAAAAAATGTTAGTTGTGGAATGGCTAATTTTATATTCATAAGATCACATCCACACTCCACATATCAACAACCGTGGAGATAAATTCCCAAGTAGGTTGCTGTTCCTTAGTAATAGGACCTCAAGGAATGGGAGCTCTAACAATCCTAGTATTGACATCGGTGTAGTAGTTCTTATTGGTTTTGAAAAAGATATATTCACACGCCACATGTGCACAGGCACAAAACGATCTCACATTCGTATGAATATTCTTTTTTAAGCGAGCAATGTTTAGTATTGATAGGCGCAGTCATCGCTTTCATATTTCATTTTGTTATCAGTCATGCGGTCCAGATGCTTGATACTCTCACATTACAATTATGTCTCTATTTCGATGAAAGAGAGTGCCGTCATATACTGATGCAGATAAGAACGTATAGAGTATAAATGTGAGGCAGATATGATGATGATTTCAAATATTATGTTTTCATCGAAAACCACAGTCTTTCTTCTCTCGTTGCTTTGCGTAAGCACTGGTGTGATCCGGACAGAAACATCAACATGTGATAACCTTCTGGATCTCATCATTGTTCTGGACTCGTCTGGCAGTATAGCTCCAGCCGACTTTGCTAAGGCAATCGAAGCAATGAAAACTCTGGCATCACTCTTGAAGATTGGAGAAAAAAAAGTGATGATCACAGTGATCAACTACTCGGCAGATGTCCAAGTGCCTATCACATTTGCCGATATGAAACTATCAACATTTTCGATTCAATGGCTCATGAACAAGATCGGAACAATCCAGCATATGAAACAAGGCACTGACACAGCTAAAGCTCTACTGGAAGCGAAGAAAATATGTGATGGTACGTGTCGACCTTTGAATGAAGGAGTTGCTCGATCAATAGTCGTTTTCACTGACGGCCAGAGCAATGTTCCAGCAGAAACAGCTAAACAGGCAGCGCTGTTGAGAAGCTCGACACAAGCAAACATTTATGCTGTTGGAATCGGTGGATATAATTTAGCGGAACTAAAAGCAATTGCTTCTGATCCTTCTTATGTCTTCACGATGGCTAACTACCAACAACTAACCGTGCTTATTAACCAAATAACTACCGAAACGTGTATGATGCCTGCCTTTGTTGCACCCAATGTAAAAGTGGCAACAGAAGTGCCAGCCAATACGTATCGCTATTATCGCATGGATACAAATATGCTGAGATCAGGAGAAGGCGGCTTCTTTGAATTGACGGTAAGCTTTAATACCGAATTGACGATAATTAGCAAATTCATGTAATCTTCTAGACAAACGCAAAAAAGGGCAGCACCCGTGTGTTCACCTCGGCGACTAACAAGAACCCTCAAGCTGGCTCAAGTCGCGAAGTCTCGTACAAATCGAGGGGAACACAGCAACACTATCTAGAGTACGTTGCGCCTGGAACGTCAAAATACTACTTTAGTGTTCTCGGTCTCGATCCAGTCAATGAGTTCGACTTTACACCACGAATTCTGGATATGACTGGCGGTATTATTGGATAGACAGTTCTCGCATGTCTTTTCTTTTTTTCCATCTTTTTCGAATTATAATCAAGAACTGAAAGTAAAATATGTGTTCAGCATTCACTGAACATGATTAAACTAATAAACAATCTGAGGCACGGTATAGACTAATGGCTTGTGAGTTTCTCCTTGTCGATTTAGCGTTAGAGATAATTTTGCACATCGACTGAAGCAAAGATCCACAATGTCACCACTTTCAATGAATGTTGAAAAATTTTGGATTTCGATCATTCTTTTATCATTCAATAGAGTCATGTCTCTCTTCTTAATTTGAGTCTAAATGGGATGACTGTAGTACTTTTTGACTTTCTCAGCACCACTTTCACGGGCAAATGATTCCAGCACCCAAATTTGGAATTTTCCAGCGAGAAACCGCATAGGAAAGGCGCTGTCTCTGACCGTACCTCATTCATTTGGGTCCTACTGCACAACGATCAAATTTTCAATTTATAAAAGTATAGAAGATAAGACAAGAAACGCAAAGCATCACACAACATATCGTCCTTGCCTAGGGGATTCATTAGGGTATGGGTGTGGGCGTGTGGATGTGTGGGATGTGGTGTGTATATGGATGGGTATGGGTGTTGGTGTAGGTGTGAGGTGAATACGATGAGAAGATAAATGCAAGTACACCCACACCCACCCTTCTAACGACAACAAGCAATTACAGTGACATATCACTTACCATAGACACATTTATATAGAAGCATTACATAGCTAACATAACGCACTTTTAAGATTGAATCATCTATTTAATATTAACTTATATTTACGTTGAATGACTTGAATTTATTCTCATCAATTAGAATTATTTATCTCAAAAAGCTATTTTTAGCTAATCGAGTTTGATTTATTGGTTAAAAATTCTTAAATCTATGCACTTCCATGTATTCTGAGAAACAGATATTTCTGACTTCTGTTTCTTCAATTGCTTAGGTATACTATTCTCTAAATCATCAATGTATCTTTAGTGATGCCATGAATAATTATTTTAACTTTATTTATTAAGAATAAGATTATGAGTAAAAGAGATGCTAGCAGAAAATGGCCGAAGACGACACTGTGAGAAAATTCATTCAAGTGTTTTGGTTATTTGATCACGACCTTTCGAAAATTTATAATATTA